TCCACCAAGAATTCTAAGAAAACAAATTCGGAAACGCGAAAATCCAAGGCTAGGAAGGAGATTTCCACCAAAAGGAAGATTAACAACGTGGAAGAGAACAAGGGAACGGAAGTGAAGGGGACAGGCGTAACGCCTAACAATGCGGAGTTGACTATGGATTGGAAAAAGGAGTTGGCCTCACTCATCCGACAAATGAGGGATGAAGGACGAGCATTTGCTGAAGAAATGAAGGCTAGGAGTCGAGAAGGGATGGGAGAAGGTCAGAGGAATCAGAGCGAATCGGTAGCGGAGGAAATATTCCGATCGAAAATGGCTGCGACCGAAGATGGGGCCGATCTGAGGACCTTTCTTAGTTTGACGGAGCAAGAGTTTCGAGAAATGAAAATTTCGGAGGATCAATGGGGATTATTGGTGAGGAAGTATTTAACCGGACGGGCTGTTAAGCAATGGGATTATATATATCGATCGGGGATAGACATGACAAATTGGTCTCTAGTGCGTGAAAGGCTCTGTGAGAGGTTCTGCGTTTTACCACGGCATGGTATGATACTTAAAATGAAGGAAAATGTATGGAAGGGAGACTATAATGAGTATACTAATGCGTTTACGGATATAGTGATTACAGGAGAAGAGATGCCCGAGGAAGAATTGGCTATATTTTATCTAGCGGGATTGCCTGAGGACATAGGAGATAAGTTGACGAAACGTGGGAAGAGGGAATTCCCGACTTGGCATGAAGCAGCAAAGGCGTTAAGAGAGTACGTTGTTCCGATGAATGCGTGGCGATCAAAGAGAAAACGCGCGGTGCGGGAAATGCAGGACGCGGAAGGGCAATCGGGCACGGCAGAAGGCAATCCCAAGGCGGAGGGAGAAAAGAATACCGGCAAAGCGGAAGGCTCGAATTGTGTAACGCGAAAGGCTACACCGTCAGGCAGAGTAGCGACAGAAGGGGAACGAGATGCGATACGTTGTTATGAGTGTACAGGAAGGGGACATATGGGAAGGGACTGCCCTCTGCGTAATGGAGTAATAAGAAGAAGAGGAGAGACTTGTTCTAAGTGTGGAGGAAAGGACCATTATGCAAGAGACTGTGCGACTGTGCGACGAATAATGGTAGGAAGCCAGAGAGTAAATATGGGAACGAGTACGGAGATGAAAGAGGGAGTCAACCGGTCAAACGAGAAGGCCTAGGCACTGAAGGAGACAAGTGTTCTAGGCCAGAACATAGAAATGGCAGAGGGAGACAGGTTGCTACAAGCCCAAACGCCATAAAGATCTCCAGTCCTATACAACGAAGTGGTCGAGCGAGAGTGACGAGCGAATTAAACGGGAGCGAATCAATAACGCAAAAGGGGAGGCATGTGATGTTGTTGAACGGAAATAGAGAACAACCAAACGGGAACGGGAGTGGAACGGATGAATGTGAATATCGGGAGAAGAGCGAGAAAGTCGGAGCGACAATCGGAGAAGAGATGATTTTACCGCCTTGGTTGTGGGAGAAAGATGGGCTAGCGAACCATCATGGAACGTTATGCAGAGTTTGTAGCGGCGGAAGAACGGCAGTGTTGCTGTTGGAGATAACAGGGTATCGTTGCGAGGGGTTGTTGGATACAGGGGCATCAAGGAGTTTTATTCAACCATCTGTGGTAGAAAGATTGGGGTTAAAAACGAGAGCTTTGTCAGAGGAGTATTCATTTACGGTCGCAAACGGAGAAATTATTCGCATACATAGTGAAGTGCCGCGACTAGCCATAATATGTGGAGGCGAATGTTTTACGGGAAATTTCCTTGTAGGACAGGTGCCATACGCTGTGATCCTTGGGATTGATTGGTTAGATAGATACAAGGTAGCGTGGTTTTTCGAATCGGATAAACTTAGAACGTATGTAAACGGAAGGATGTGCGATTTACCTGTGTTGCGAAGAGAGGGAGAAAGGCCTATGGAATATACGGGAAAGGGAGAGACAGACAAAACCGATGCGGACCTGGCATATGAGGAGCTAGCCAAACAAGTAGCTAAGATGACAGCTGAAGAGGCAGCTGTATTTGTACGTACCCCGAGCAAGCGTTACAAAGCGAAGCATAGGAAGACGGGAAGGATCAAAATAAAGGAACTAATAGATCAGGCTAGGGAAAATGCTAAGGAATTGAAAGGCGCAATACAGGGATTAAATTGTATTGTCGAATTGCCAGAAATAGAGGTCGATCTAGACAGACGAAGACCAATAGCGAAACAGGGATATATAATAGGAGCAATGGTGCAACAAAGAGGGAATACCAGGGAGTGGAAACGAGTTGCGAATGGACCTGGAAAACAAGAAAACTTTGAGGACAAGAAAGAGTCGCCCTGGCCTAATGCTATTCTGGAATTTACAGAATTTGACAAGTGGATTGAAGGTGAAGAGGCCCGAACTTTACCCTCGCAAGTGGTCCAACTGTTAAGGCGGTATCGGTCCTTATTTCCTGACAGCTTACCTGATGGGTTACCTCCCAAGAGACCCTTTGATCACAGAATTCTACTCATTCCAGGAAAGTTACCCACAAGAGCGCCTATTTACAAAATGCACCCTGATCACCTGATACATCACTCGAAGGAAATAGAACGACTCTGTGCTAAGGGATGGATAGGCCCGACTTACTCTCCTATCTGTGCACCGACGATTATGGTGGGCAAAAGAGATGACGGGTCTGGGGAGCGGAAAATGCGTATGGTAGTAAATTATCAGGCGCTGAATGCATTAACTATTGCAACTGAGTTTCCTATGCCGTGTGTGCAAACGGTAATCGAGATGCTAGGAGGGGCATCATACTTCTCAACTTTGGATCTAGAAGCGGGGTTTCATCAGATAAGAATGGCTAAAGAAGATAGATGGAAGACTGCATTTAGATCAATACAAGGATTGTTCGAATATAAGGTTATGCCATTTGGTCTAAAAGGGGCACCTGCTACATTTCAAGCTAATATAAATGCGTATTTGCAACCCTTGCTAGGGCATGGAGTGATTGCATATATTGATGATGTACTAATCTATAGTAAAACTTTGGAAGCGCGCCTTCATGTGTTACAGCAAGTCTTCGAAATATTCCTTACGAATCAATTTTACCCGAAGTTAATTAAATGTAAATTTGCCCAACGGGAGTTAACCTATCTTGGTTATACGATAGGTGTTGACGGAATTAAACCTGCAGCAGACAAAGTGGAAGCGATCAATCTATGGCCAGAAGACCTTGCTAACGAGACACAGGTGCGACAATTTCTAGGCACGGTTAACTACTGCAGAATGTTTATGGGGCCGAGATATGCAGATCTTGCGCGACCCCTAGTAGACCTCACGCGTAAAAATGCGCCCTTTGTTTGGACGGAAGAACACCGAAATGCGGTACGACAATTAAAACAGCGTCTAGCAGAATTTACGATTTTACAAGTGCCAGATTCTAATAAGCCTTTTACACTCTATACAGACGCGTCGGGTTATGCTATTGGTGCAGTGCTTGAACAAGAGGAAAGGCCTGTTGGTTTCCTGAGTCAGGTCATGACTCACGCTCAGCAGAAATATTCTATATACGATCAAGAATTGTTGGCTCTTATAACGGCACTAGACAAGTGGCAGCATCTACTAAGGGTCGCAGAGGTTACAGCTTATACGGATCATCAGGCGCTTACCTTTCTTCAACGTAATAATTCGCAGAAGCCGTTGCGGGGTCGAACAGCGCGATGGTTGGATTTCTTGGCGAAGTTCCCGAATCTTAAGATTACCTATTTACAAGGCGCAAGAAACAAGGTAGCGGATGCGATGTCTAGGCATCCACAGCATGTAAATGACGAATCGCTAAGACCTGCTCAGCTTTTAGCTTCTCTTCTTCAACAGCCGGCGGGAGCGGGTGTGCATCCCAGATATTCTACGCGGTTAACAACGGGGTCGGTACCGCCTACAGACTTTCGGGCGATGATGGGGCGGAGGTCGGCCTCAAGCAGTCAACGGAGAGATGGAACGGAGTCCCAAACTTCTTCGCGAGTTTCGGCAGAGAGTATTGACGATTCTGTACAGGATGCATCCAGTTCGCGAGATTCAACAGACGACACTTTAAATTCGGCAGTTCCGTCATCCGATGCTCAGCCGACCTCATTCAAGAGTGCTGAGATACGGGCAGAGACACTTTCGGCACCTGAGCATTTGTCGGCGCAACGTTGGCGGGAAGCCTACGACCGTTGTTCGCAGTTCAGAGATATTGTGGCAGAAGCAATGCGTAAAGGGGAAGAAGAGTTCGTGCATCAGTTGCAGGGCCGCCGGTATACATTTAAATTTAGACATCCTTATTTGTATGTTTGTATTAATGGCTTATGGTGAATTTGTCCACCGACTTTACCAGAGTTTCTCTCGTATATACTATATTGTCATCACGATCATGTCACTGCAGGGCATCGAGGCGTGCGGAAAACCTTCCTTTCACTCAGTAAGTTCTACTACTGGCCTGGAATGAAAGCATATACAGTAGCGTATGTCGAGTCGTGTGTGCAGTGCAGAGCGTCGAAAACGATTTCCCAGAAGCCGGCGGGGCTACTGCAACCGTTGCTCATTCCTTCTCGACGATGGAGCCATGTTAGCTTAGATTTTATTACAGATTTACCTCTCACTCCGCGGGGACACAATACTATCTTAGTACTTGTCGATTCACTTAGTAAGATGGCTCATTTTATTCCAACAAAAATGTCGGCAACTACGGCGGAAGTTATTGAAATTTTGGCGGATCGCTTAGTTCGGTATCATGGGTTTCCCGATGTCTTGATCTCAGATCGAGATCCGCGGTTTCAGTCTCAGTTGTGGCAACTTTTATGTCAGCGATTTCATATAAAACGGGCGATGTCGTCTTCTTATCACCCGCAAACAGACGGGCAGACTGAGAGACTCAACCGCACATTAGAACAGATGCTTAGAACTTATGTTCAGACTGATGAGAGCGAGTGGGAACGATTGTTGCCGGCATTGGAACTTGCTTACAATACAACCTCTCATTCGTCGACGGAGCTCAGCCCTTTTGAAGTTATGATAGGGCAAAATCCAGTGACTGCCGGGGATATAGATATTGTTGGTGATCTTGCGCCTAAGGTTACCCCTCCAATGAAGAAGGTATTTCAGCAGTTATGTGACAGGGCGCAAGGTCATATTATGAGAGCTAAGTGGCAGCAGAAACATTATGCTGATGCCAGAAGACGGGATGTCCAATATAAACCGGGTGACCGAATTTGGATTAACAGTCGCAATCTACCAGGGTTGAATCAATGTTCTAAGCTGGAGCCAAGGTTCAGAGGTAAGCTGGAGCCAAGGTTCAGAGGGCCTTTCAAAATTCTGGAGCGTATTGGGCAGGTTGCGTATCGTATCGAATTGCCTC